CTCATACAGTATCGCCTTCAATTGTTGTTGGTACGGCATCATTTGTTTCTAACTCCAGCCTAAAGTTCTGTCACTTCTCTGCAAGTTTGCTCTGATGTGCCCCCAGAATGAGGAGAAGTGGGTGACTACCAGAGAGAGGGTCTTTTCAGCAGTGGCACCTAGAACACATTCCCACAGAGTTCCCTGTGGTCTTTTCAGCACCAGCAGAAGATCTTTCTGTTCTTCCATTATTTTTAAATCACTCGTGTTCTGAGCTTCTCTGTTAATTTAATTTTGGGATGCTGGGAAGTTTGCTTTGCTGCCTTCTTTGTTGCTTTTGATGGCATGGTTGTCATATTGTTTCTTTCCCGTTTAAATTATTTGTAAGCTACCCAGAGACCTTTATGTTCTGAGGCAGCATACAAACTCTGTACATAACGGAAGAATGCACTGGAAGAAAATGCTGCCTATGGTTCACCCCGCAATAAAGGACTTTCTAGTCTCATTGATTCAACTGTTGGGTTAAATTTGTGCTTAAATCCCTTCCATTGAAGCTGGTGGAATGTGAAAGTGCTTTACTTTATCAGGACAGCCCTTGGCGCGCTCCTTTCTCTTCTCTTTCTCAGGTCTCTTGTCTCCTGTACTTCCTACATTTTTAAACAGAGGAAAGTTTTATTCAAATTCTCAGAAACCACAGGGTCAGGGCTGGCTGCATCTTTTAGGGTCTTTGATGGGAACACATGTGAACTGTGGATCCGGCAGGTGTTCTTCCTGTTACTGTGGCAGCGGAGGAGGTGGCAGCCTGCAAGGTGGGGGACTCCTGGGCTTGAGCTTTTCTTGTCTTTTTTCGCAGCAAGAATCTGCAGACACTGAATAATAGTCTGTGAAGATAGCTAAGAGGATCTGTGATCATTTGAGGAAGAGAGACTGAGAAAATGCAGTAGTGCTCAATTTCAGGAAAAGGATAGGAATCCTAAATAGCCTCTGCTCACAGAGGACTGGTTGGTTCCAAAGTCTGCCTTCTTTGGACAGGAAGCTCCTGCTTACAGAAGGTACCTGCACCCAGTTTTTAAGGATTCCTCCCCTCCCACAGGGCACCCATTTCAACAGATCGCCAGATCCCCTGTGTGACATTTTCAAAGAGCTGGAGGGCCTGCTGTGGGGAGGAAAGGCAAGGCATGTACTTCCAGTAGAAAAGTGCTTACATGTGGATCCAGCCCATTGCTACTATTCTTAATTATAGGGAGAAAGTTCTGGTCACTGCAAATACACTGGGAGGATGTGAGACCTTGTTGGGCCATCTCTCCGCACTTGCTTCCTTCTTCTTGGACGAGAAAGAAGCTCATCCCCTTCTCAGATGCACCTGAGGCCTGAGACTGGAGCGGATGGGCAGACTGGCTTCATCTGCACGACTGCTTCCCACTGTCCCAGCTGCTGGAATAACACAGTGATGGGCAGGGATAAAAACTGTCAGGAAGGCCCCACTTCCGCAGGGGCCAGCATCAGGCGTTGGCATGGTTGGGCATCTCTTGAGTGCTCACACCCAGCCAAGGTCCACTGACAAGAACTCCCTGGAAGTGGTTATCCTCTTCATCCCTGTAGCCTTTACTTGCCTGTCGAAGGATACTAAGGTGGACAAAAAGAGGAGCAGAAGGTTCCATGGCCTCTGCCTGTCAAGCAAGCTGGTGGCAGCCATGATGGGGCAGAGGAGGAGGAGGAGCAAAAGCTGCTGGTGACCATGGTGGTGATGTTGATGAATGTGCCAATAAACATGTAGCTTAAAAATCACAGAAAGTAATAGTTCCCTTCTAGTTCTCACTGGTCCCACCTCACTCCAAATACCATTTCCAGATGTGGATAGCACACTTTAAGGATTCAGATAACTGGACACCAGTTCAGTGGGTACAGAAAAGATCTGGGGACTAAAAGTGAGGTCCCCACAAGGGAAGGGTGAAAGAACTGGATATGTTTAACTCTGAGAAGAGAAAACTAAAAAGGGGATATGACATCACTTTTTAAGTGCCTAAAAGGGTGTCACCTAAAGGGCAGTTGTATAATTTTAGCTATTGCCTGTCAAAAAGCCTGAGGCCTTTTGAACCTAATATGCTATTTGCTTACTTTGACAAAGAAAGGAAAGGTAAGTGGAACTGCTGGGGAAAAAAAAAAAGGATTGTGTGTGTGTGTGTGCACACTTAAATCCCCCCCCCCGCCCAACCAACAAATGATAGAAGACATTTTTTTCTATCAACAGCTGTGAAAACTTACTTTTTTTTTTTTAATGATACAAATCGCTCTTTGACTTCTCACCTTTTGAGTGGTTGATTGCTCACTTGAGGTGGGAAAGCATGTGTAGGAGGTTTAAGACATAACCTGGCCCAAAGTGGCTGGCAAGAGAGAGAAAAGTTGCAAGGCAAATTCTCAAGCGTGTCATGGCAGCATGAGAGGTGGTTTGGGTTCGTTGTGCTGTGAAGATTTTGCAGCAGGTGCCAACTATGACTTACTGGTGTAAGGGTTGCCAACTGATCAAAAAAAGGTGTTGGCAGTTTCATTTTTGAGACAGCTGTAATTAAAAAAGCAGGAAAAGCCCATTTTTCTTATTGTTGCACCTCTTAGGTGAGTCACTAGCTCTGGACAGTTGTGTCTCACTTCTAGAACCGCCCCCCCCCCCCCCGATCTGGTGTGGGTTTCACTGTCAAATAAGGAAGGTTCCTAGTTAGGGTCTAACTAGGTCAAACATTTCAGTAATTGGCCACTCTGCTTGAGGTCTTTGCTGCATTTCAGAGCTGCCCAAATTGAGAGCCTCACAAAAAGCAGAGTGACATATTTATGCACAAGTAGATCTGCAATTTAAACAACTTGCTACCAAAAGATTAAAAATTATATGCATCATACAGAACTCATATCCCTAACGCCAGTGCTCTCCCACACGGTTGCACTACAACTTCCATCAGCCACAGCCAACATTATGAGGTTGGGGAAGGCTAGAGTAAAGAAAAGAGACAGATTATTTTTCTTCTATTCCCTTATAATGCTTGTATATGGGGTTACTTAGTGAAATTGCCTGGCAATAGATTCAAAATAGACAAGCTCTTCTTCATGGAACATGCAGCCCTGGTACTAAGTTTGCAAGAGCCCTTGCACAAGGCACACTTAGCGGCTCCCCTTCCAACAGTGAATCTGTCTCCCTTCTGCCACTATCATAAGCTGCTCTTGCTCATTGTGGCCAATGCTTGCTTGATAGGCAAAGAGCCAGGGAGCAAGGAGGCCGTGGCATCTGCTGCACCTCCTTCTCACCACTGCCATGGGTTGGGCCAGAGTGAGAGGCAGGTAGACAAGAAAGTTGCGGAGGTGAAATTGAGGAACAGCTCCAGGAGGCTCCTGTCAGTTCTTGTTGGGATATCATCCCTGCAAGTGGCCAGCCATGCTGTCCTTGATGCTGGCCTGGCATAATTAAATGTGTGTCCTGCACTAGCCCACGTGATGTGATGGTTATGGGCTTTAAGACGGTTATTAGTTTTGAAAATGTTTCTGGAGCATAAGGCTATCAGCCATGATGGAAAAATGAGATCTTCAGGTGGGTGAAAGGCAAGGATGCTGGGACAAACAAGGCATCACTCCCATGGCTTGTTGCTTCTGGGCTTCCTGAGGCATCCTGAAGAAACAGGATGCTGGACTAGATGGCTCCTAGAGCCCAGCCAGAAGGATGTTTCTGGCTGCAGTGTGGTAATAGCATAATGTATCTTTCACTGCAGATCATTTGCAGACACAGGCAGGCAAATAGAAAATGGGCTGTGGCAATGAATCTTTCAATGTTCATATTCTTCCTTGACCCTGTAATGTTTCAGTGAAGTGAACTCATTGCAGTGGGTGTTTTCCTAGCATAGGGAAGGGGAGTTTGGGGAAGCAACAGTCATGACATAGAGATGAAATTGACATTTTTTGGCATGTCATCTGCTGGGTGGGGAATTTGGCCCTCTATCACCTTTGGACGTTATGAATCTGCATATCTTTTCTGTGCAGTGGTTTGGGCATGAATAAATTATTCCATGAAGAATAACTAGCCTTTCCATAGGATGCACCTTTTATCTGGGAAATTACTAGGTACAGCTACTGCTTTTCTGTATTAATTTATGTGAGTGCACAGATGGGGGAAATTGGTATTCTATATGGATTTAAGTATTTATTTTATTTATTTGTTTAGCAAACTTACATGCCGCCCCATTCTCCTAAGCCTAAGGAAGTATGGGGGTTCCATATTGGCTACTAAGACTTCAGGCCAGAAGAACTCAGCTCAGACCTTGCCTCAGCCCTGAACACTAGGCAGACTTAAACTTGAATTATGTGTGACACACTCAGTTTTTCCTGAGCTTTGCGTTTCTTTATCAACCGAAAGCAGTTGCAAACTGGAAGTTTGTGTGGGGTGCTAGAAGTGTTGTTTGTTGCTTTCCCATGAGTTATTTTCTTACCAAATTATTCCCTCCAGGTTGCATTTCTCATCATATATATATATTTTCTAACTGTAAATATATCCAGGAAGGAGGCAATATTGATATGAAAAAAGGAAAAGCGGTAAATCTTTACATATACTTCAACTGAACCAAAGTAACACTCCAAATTAGCTTTCCCAAATGTTTGCTACTATGAACCAATGTCTGGAGTATTTTACAGAAGGGCACAAATGTTTTCACAAATGTGTACTAGTGTAGTACAACCAATCTGGGTTGGGCAAACTAGCCTCACATTCTCAGGGGAAAAGAGTTGCATAACAGCATAATGCATAGTTTGATCCCAATATTTCTAAGGCTCTCCTTTTGCTTTTTACTTTCTGTGTTTGATTTGGGGAACCTCAGGACCAGCAAACCCACATTTTATTTTATTTTATTTTATTATTTATTAAAACATTTTTATGCCGCCCCATTCGCCGAAGCCTCGGGGCGGCTTACAACAAAAAGTTAAAATAACATTTTAAAATATAAACAGTAAAATACAAATATATAATGAAAGCACAATGTGTGTGGGATAAAGCAAGAAATACTATGCCTCTGGATGCAGTCTCCTATTCATCAGGTGCTGATCTGCCACTGTGTCTAGCAAATCCACAGGTACACAAGTTGTGCATACAAGTTCAGAAAGTATTCTATGCTCTTCAGTCCACAAACTGTTCTGCTACCCCCTTTATTATGACTGAAATGAAACACATGAAACACACAGAGTCATGGGTGCTGAAAAGCACACTGTATTAAAAATAAATCCATCAGCTAACTTTATAGATAAGGCTTTAAAAACACACTGAGAAAACAAGGTATAAAGTTATTGTCATTGTCCAACTACAGAACAAGTGGAGAAACATTTTTAAAGCACAGTGCCTTTGGATATACAGCCATTTTCAGTAGTAGCAATGTTCATGCAGAAAAACATTAACAGGTACCCCGAATTCTTAGCTGTCACCTGAGGTTGTGGGGACAATTGAATGGTTAACTTTTGACATCTTCCTCTCCCAAAGTAATAGAGCTTATGCCAGAGTTCTCCAGGAGTGAGGTCAGCCTGCCAGAGGAGGCTAATTAAGGTTACAAGTGAGGATATGCAGCTCTTCCTTCACAATGTTGAGATATTTCATGAGTCTTATAGAACCCTGTTTCCCTACCTCAACATCTCTCACTCTAGTTGTAAATCACATGTTGAAATTTCATGTTAGGTAAAATTTGGTGGCTAGTACTGGATTTCTCCCCACCTCCAGTCAGCTGAGATATTTTGCTACTTACTAAAATCTTTCTGTTTCTCTCAAAATTCCTCTATCTTTCTTGCCCCAGTAGAAACTCCATATTTACTTCAAAATGTGAAATTTGGTGGAAAGTCTCAGTTCTTTTTTGGCACATGCTTTTGAATTAAGCTTCTTGGGCCAGGACACAAGGACCCATGCTCCTTCAACCACCTCCTTCAAAGCAGACCAGAAACAGTGGTGCATGCTGAGCTGCCCAACCTGCCCTGCTTATGTCAATTGATGTTGCCTGTAGAGTATTCCCTTGCCCGCAGCCTTGCAATCCAGCACGGTGCTAGAACACTTTGCTTTGCATGCAGAAGGTCCCAGCTTCCTAGGGCTAGGAATGGACCCTACCTGAAGCCCCTGGCTAGGGCCAGGAAGACCCTGCCAGTCAGCAGTCAATGTTAAAGGGCTAGATGGACCAGCTAGAAGGACTAATCAGTGCTGGGCTCTGAAAAGGCAGGCTTCCAGGTTCCTATGCACTGCAGTGGTGTTCAGGGAGTGGGGTACAGCCTTAGGGCAGCAAATCTGATCTTATCCTTGTGTATGCATACACTCAACAGAGAAACAAAGGCCATCCTGGGATTCATAGAAATGTGAGGCATGACTTTTCAAACATTTATTGACACAAATATCTAACTTTTACATGTGAAGAGGTTCTTAGATTCCTCCCTTACAGTTTTCTATAACATTTCTGTAGGTTCTGAAACCTTCCTTTTTCAATGCATCTCCCTAATTTTTGGTCTGCAATAATGAGCTATGCCAGTTTCTCTACAGTGCAGACTCATAACTTACTTTTAACATCAGATAAAACCACTGGTCAACAGTGGAAAAATCTCTCTGTTTTAAGCTTTCTTTAGAACATGATTCCTGTATTTAAGAGGTGCTTAGATTCCTGGCCCACTTTTGCTTCTTCCTCTGCTAAACCTGACTTCTTACTAGCCTCTCCTATGATCCACCATGAAGTGTTCCAATGGATTGCTTCTTCCAACTAGGAAGTGAAAGGGCTTCTCTAGGATTCACCCTCACATGAGAGTTATGAGTGCTTTCAGAGGGCTGCTGGTGCTGTCACAAGACATGTGGAGCTATTCCATCTTTCCATCCTCAGATTTTTGCTGGTAAGAAAAATGGTGGAAGTAGCAGTGTGAAAACTGCTAGGCAGCAGAAGGTGCCATCTGGACTCCTTGCAAATTTCCCTAAGTTACAGAAGGCTGTTGTACAATACATGCCTCTTCTGGAAGCACCCTATGTTGACATTCCCCGGCTGCTGAATCAAGCAGCAGCAGCTTTTCTTGAAGAACCAGCTAGCCTACTAAAGGATAGCTTTCCAAATTTTGAAAGTGGCTTACTAAAACCATCACTGCCGGCTGTTCAAAAAAAATTTGACCAGACATAGCAGCCCGTCAGACGCACAAGGAGCATTCCATGCCTCAGCAGCAGTGACTCTCAGGTTGCTACCTCAAATCTCATTCTCCCATGGAGGCAGCAGATTGAGGGAAGCAAGTATGTGCATAATTTGGGGGAGAAAACTAGCAAAAGATAAAATGTGAGATGTACATGTCCTAGCAGAGTAAGTGGATTCCTAATGAAAGTTGTTGTGATCTTTGCCTGCAGGGGTGCAACTTTAGATTTCCAGGAAGAAGAAAGGTTTTTATAGAGGGGAACCAAGCTGCCTTAAGATTCAGTGGCCTGCTCTTGGGTTCACAGCCAGAAACTTCATATTGAGAGGGCCTGAGGAAAGGGTATTATTATAGAAATGCCAGAACATGAACAACGTTAGCCTTGCTTCAGAGTTAGGCAACTGCATGAGCAATTGCGTTTTTTCTTAGGTCTCTGCAAGGCTACAGTCTTATTTGGTACTACTGAAGCTGAAGATTCATTGTGGAGACCAGGAGTATGGCCAAGGAAACAGGCCACCGCATCTGCCCTGGGGCTACTATGCTTGAACATAAGGTTGAATTGCAAAATGCAGCATAAGAGTAAAGGTTGTGACATTCTATACATATGTGTGAACACATCTCACTGTGACTATAGACATGTGATCTACACACACACACACACACACACACACACACACACGGAGGGAGGGAGGGAGGGAGGGAGGGAGGGAGGTTTGCCCTTTAGCTGACCAGTAAATATTTTCCACTGATAAAACCAGTGTTTTTTCTGCTAATCAGTGCTGGGCTCTGAAAAGACAGTCATACATCAGAATCTGCCCAAGTACCTCATATTGCTAGGCCTGGAGCTTATGCCTTCTTGAACTCTGTCAGACTCCATCTCTGATTCACCACATTTTACTTTGTTTCTGCCTACTGCTTCTTCCAAGGCAGCCAATGCTGTTCAAAATGAACAGTAGTAATGCCTCAATGTACAGAAACAGCGGGCTGGCCAGAAGCAGAGGTGTCTCAGAGGACTAAAGCTGTAGGGGGAGGAAGCCGCATACAACACACACAAACACAGAAATAAGAATACTACATAATGCCAGCAATACTTATACAAAAGGCTTATCAGTGCTACAAAAACCATGTTTGCCTCCTTGCTACTGACAGGGGAAACTGTTATACATCTGCAGCAAACGGGCTGTTTAATGACAATGGGTCCTCACCAAGGAGCACTGGGAAGTGCAGCAGCGCAAACATCCATGGTAAGTAGAAATACAACTCATGGCAAGGGTGTTATTTGAGGAAAGAATCAAGTGTGGTTCTTAGTCCCAGAATCACTATCTAATGCCATAATCCAAGACAGAATGACATGCTAAAATCTTCTCTGGACTGCACTGCATCAGGCAGCCTGTGGAGGAAATCACTGGTTTGTATGTTCTCCTACAGAAAAAGTCTGTCTCTAGGAAAAAAAGAAGGGAACAAAAAACAGCATGGCAGAGGGATGTTTGTGACATGCTGCTGCTCTATTTAATAGATTTATATACCACTTACTGTATCTAAAACCTTATCTTGGACAGGGACTATAGCTCCGTGGTGGAGCACATGCTTTGCATGCAGATAGGAGGGCTGGCTCTGATGAAGGGCAACACTTCTGACCATTCACAAAGTGCTTTCTGATCACCACAGTTTTAATCCAGTAATCTCCAAATGCCTAATCTTAGAAAGTAAGCCCTGACATAACTCTCTCAATTTTTCTTTTAGAAATTAAGCACTGTTGGTGGGGGGAGGGGGATCCATGGCAGTTGAATCAGTTTCAGGGGGCAAAGCAGATGTGAGCTTAACCGTTTTACAACTGAAACAGCAAAATTCAGAAGTAATGTATCTGCAGTTTTAATAATAATAATAATAACCATAATAAGAGATTTGCTACTCTACAAATATGCCGGTCTTGTGGCACTTAGAGGCTAGCATTTTTATTCTGGCATGAGCTTTCATAGCCACTGTCTACTTCATCTGATATATGAAATGTTCAGGTCACATTGACAGATGTATGAACACATATTGGGGTAGTAAGAGCGATATAAACCTTGTGGTTAGAAGGAATTGAAATGCAAAAAAGTAGACAGATCATGGCCTCTTAATAATTGCCATGCACAAAATGTTGTTGGATGATAACTAGTACCTCACTGTATTACACATTGATCATAATTTGTCCTTTATGCACATTCAAGTCCCCCTTATACTCCATGGCAGCATCTGCCAGTTTGGGCTTAGTGCATCTGAGGAAGCAGACAGTGTCCATGAAAGCTTCTGCCAAAATAAATATGCCATGAGACTCTTTGTTGTTCTTGCTGCAGCAGGCCAGTGTGGCCACCTTTCTGGAAGTCATTACACTACAAATGTAAAATAATTTTAGACCAGTTTAACTCTCCTGGTTTTCAGACAAGAAACCCTGGGAACTGCAGTTCTATGAAGGCAAGAAAATATAAATGCCCAGGGTTGTTTGGGATAGGTCCCAATACTTAAACTGGTTTCAAACTGATTTACGTTTGAGGTACACATCTACAGTCTAAAAATGCTTTAGGCATCCTGCTCTCATTTCAGTCCCATTCTGTGCTCACCACGGACTATGTGGGAGGAGAACTCATACTTGTTATGGCTCCTGTGGCCACACATGTTACATTCAAAAGGGTCACGGAAGCCATGACATCCCATGTGGATTGTAAACATCACATAATCCAGGAAGAGGACACGGCAGTGGTCACATCGGTAGACCCCGATGAGTTCACCTTCCCTGTTGAAAACTTTCAGGACATCCCGAGGACAAATAGTTGGGGGCCTGAAGATGTCATATGACCTGGGGTGTTCCTTGAAAGCCAGAAGCCCATTCCGGGCCTGCAGAGGAGGCGTGGCCCCTTGGTTTGGATGGTAGGCATGATTCTGGTGCTCCTCCTGGTTGCTGTCTGAGTCTGTGGAATCCTGGGCACTGTTGTTTGGCGAGGGACCTCTGTTGGAAGATATCGTCTTGTCTCTCAGCGGGGTGTGATTCTTTCCCTCTTCCTCTGGGTTGCCGTTGGGCACTTCCGTGTGAGTGAGCGCAAGGGGATACAGGCTGCTGATCACAGGCACCATCTCAGAAGTTGGGGCTGCTGAAGGCTGCACAAAGGGGCGCAGCGCTTCTGCCCCAAGGTAGCCAATAGCATTATGGATGGCCGGATCAAGCATGCTTCCTTGCAGCATGGCATCTCTCTCCTTCTCATACACAAAGCCAGGGCTGTAATTCACTTCAAAGCTGGGGCGTTTCTCACCTATGAGGGAAAAGAACACTTGAGGAGTTACAGGGTGAAGTTCTAAAACCATGGTATTGGTAGTGGAGGAAACAGGAAGAGCACCTAGGCCTGAATCCTGGGAATCCCGCTCATATCCCAATTCTTTCAGCACTACATTCTTTCAGGCCTGACTAAGGGAACAGGAACTTGCTTTTAAAACTTGCATGGCACAATCATGGAATCACATATTGCATTAGATTTGGATCACAATGGCATTCTGCTGATATGGCTCATTTGTTCATATTCAACAGACAATAGAGCCTTTTATATTAAGAACCTCTGAGTGACAGAAACTAGAATGTCAAACCCTTGAGATACTTATCACTGGCAGTACTATGACTCAAGGACCACAAAACTCTCCAGGTTGTTCTGCAGAGGGGGGTGAAACCAACCACTCACGTTTCTTTAGTAATGTGCTTGATAGTGTGTTGACAGCTCTCGGCCAATCTGATGATCCATCTGATACTTAAAAGGAATTTTAGAAAGAAAGGAAACCTCCCACAGTCTAACATTTTTCTATGACTCATAATGCCAGTTCTAGAAAAGATGAATCAAATAAATTTCTTAGGCTAGTTTCCCAAAAGATGCTGAAATATTTATATATATATAAAATTACTGGAGATGGTCTAACTAGAAAACTACCCATCCTTCTGGCAGGCAGTGTTTATGCAAAAAGAAAGCTGGTAAGACTCCACTCCAAAGGGTATAGTGACTTTTTGTCCATTCTGCAGAGAGAGTTGTTGCATCCTGCTGCAGGAAACTATTCCATTCCAGGGATCAAGAGAAGATGTTGCCATCACTACAATAATGTGCTCAGGTTAAAACTTATATCTTTGGCACTTATAGGCAGCATAGGATGAAGGGCTAACCCCAGTGACTCCCCCAAATGGCCCAGCCATTGAGTCATAAGCATGTGTTGATTTCTGTGTGCCTCTGTGTATTCACACACCCCAAGCCACAAGCTACACATGGCCTATCCCAATCTACATGATGAGTATAGCAATCTGACTGTATTTTGGATAAAGCCAAAGAATGGCTAAGTATAACAGTTCAAATATATTACCCCCAAGTTGTGCAATTATAGATGCTTCTGCAAAATTTATACTGCATTTCTTTTTTTGGCTACAGAAAAAGATATACTATTTGAAATACTGACAATTGAGAAATGTTAGGTTTAAAAAGTTGAGAGACCAAACCATTAAAATTGTGTCCCAGCAAACTATCTGTACTGGGTTTGGAAAAGCAAGAAAAACCCAGTGACTGTCATGTTTTGCACATAACCCAGCATGTTCCAGCCTGATTTGCCAGTCCTTGAAGAAATGAACTGAAGAAGTGTGTGTGTGTGTGTGTGTCTGTGTGTGTGTGTAGGGGAGGGGGAGTACTTACATCCAAACAGAGTGAGGGCAATGCTTCCTGAATTTAATTTCCTGAATCTCATTTGTTTTCACTGATATCATTCCATAGGGAAATCTTATTCTCTACATTTTCCTGATCAACAGATTGTCTATTTTTGATCCATGTCGATTTTGCTTGCATTTCTTCCTAAGTCAGCTTTCCTGTCCATTTGCACAAATACATAATATATTTGCTCATATAATGCACATTTCTTCATTTATTTTCTGTGGAAGTACATATTTGTAAATGTATTTAATCCTACATTATGCATTTTGGAGCAGTTTTCCAGCCACAAACTGCTTCACAAAACTCTGAGAAGTGCAACATTCAAAAGAGGTGTTCATCTGATCAGTTCATATGGGAACTGGAAAGAAAATACCCCAAGAATCTGTATTCCTGACTGAATGCCTCTTTATGATTCAAAGTGATTTGAAGTGGAAAATGACACTGAAGCAGTGGCTGCAGGAGACAGTGCACAGGCAAAAAACAATATACATCTGGGCTACAATCCAACAAATGTGTGGCACTTTTAAAGCTTATTCAATGAAAGATAGATGAGCAGGTACTGAACTGTCAGATTTTAATCATAGGGATACAAAAGAACTGAACTATAGTCAGAAGGTGCCCTTAGAAGTTTTTCTGGGTCCATACTCCTATCTCAGATCCAAAAGCCAGGTTTTTAGCATCAGAATCAAATCAGGTGAACTCAGATTACCTGGTCTGCTCTGAGCAAAATCAAAGCAATGAAGAGTCCAGGCCCAGTTAAAACACAGCAATGCAGAAAAGCATCTCCAAAGAAAGAGTTCTTTTTCAGTGGAAGAAATACCCGAGTCTACCAAGATCAAAATATGACAGACTGCAGAAGATGCAAGAACCTCACTGTGTCATCCTCCATCCCAACTTCTCCAAAAAGACAACACCATGTGCGCTGAAACCCAGCAGGGAAGGAAAAAGCAAAAGCCAAAAACTTTCCAGCCAAAATTAAACCCCACATTGGGAAGACTTGAGTCACTGTGTAAAAAACTGGAGAGGGAAATTAAACTTTGCACCTGTTCATAAGTATCCAAACATTCTTGGATTTTATCATGTGTATCCTGCTACTTCATCAGTAGCAGCAGTGGCACACCCAAGCATATTAAGCACAGGTGGCAAACCACAAGGTGACCCAGAAAACTTTGCTGCAATTTCAGTCGTGATAAAGAATGTGGCATTAAAAAACGTACAGAGCACATAGCTGTTACATGGCTTTGGAGAGGGGCAGGGGTGAGTTGTGGATGTTACTAGAAAAAATGAGGGGAGTTCGATGCATCCTTTTCATTGGTCAGGGTGGCTTACTGCAGTTCACTTGCCTCTCGGCCAGGAATTCAGGGCTCAAATCCAAACCTGTGGCTTCCAGCTTCTCTCCCATGTTCAGGGACAACACGTGCAAAGAAGTGGGTGCTCAAGTCCTTGTCAAAAACAGAACCCTGAACCTGCTGCACTTGAAATGGATAATAATCTGCTGTCTCAGATCACCACACTTTCCATCCTGTATAATGTCATTGTGAGGTGACACTGCAGAATGAGGTGGTAGAGTGGCAGATGAGGTTGTTCTCCTCCTGTGCAACCCCCTTCCATGCAAATATAAGGCGCATCAGAGAGATCAGGACTAGCCAAGGACCATCTCCCTGCAGTGCTAGTTTTTCACTCACAGAACGTTTCCTCACTGGGATGCATTCCAAGTATGACCCCAGTCCTTGGTCTGAGGTAACACAGCCCACGTTGCCATCTCAAGGCTTAACTATTTCAAGGAGTAACCAAACATTTTGGGACACGAAGCTGCCACTGCTCTGTGTCCTCAGCCTCCTCTTCCAGTGCCCAGAGAAACACAGGCATGACTGTGACTTCATGCTGTCTTTGCCTCACAGAACTGGCTGCCACTTGTAGAGGTACAGCAACACACTCTATTGGTTCCTTCATGTCTTTCTACATCCGATTCAGTTCTGAGGCAGCAGCGGGTTAGGATGGTAAAATGGATTCTACCCTTTGATTGTACCAAATGGGCAATCACACTTTTTAGGGTTTCCCATATTAAAAACAAATTAAAAAAACAACAACACAGAGGCAAGTAATATCTGTAAGGAGAAAGCTAGTGCTGCGAGGCATGGGCATGGCTAGAACTTTTCCTCCATTTGAACCTGGCAGGACAGGCAGGGAGAAGTTTTTCTAGAGTCTGAAGTTATAGTCTATCACACCTCTCTACTGACTCAGGGCCCCTCCACCTAATTCCCAATTCACTAGGCTGTATCTGCTCATCACCTTTGTTCTTTCCAAAGAACAAGTGCAAGATCTCAGAGATTCACCCATCTGGAACCTTAGCAGGAACACCCACATCCTAGTAAGCTTGAGTCAATATTCACATAGAGAATCAACCCTCTTGTTTCAACCATTTTTTAATCTCAGCGTTTCACAAGAAGTCATCTTAAGGTCAGACAGGGGGCTGGTGGGACTATACCTTGGAAGGGAAAAGGGGAATGAGTCACACTTTTGATCATATTGTATGTAACACCACCGCAGAGAGTGGATTTTTACAACAACAACAACAACAACAGTGACCCAAAACAGCTGCACTGAGACATTTCTTTTTTTTATCACATATGCTGCAAAAACACTTTTGCCAGTCTTTACGGCCCAGAAGCTACATGGCTGACAGGTCTCATACTGAACATTTGGATGTTGATGTTCAAGCACACAAAGTAATGCCAGTCGGAACTGAGTTGTATGCATCTTGTTCATGATCCTGGCTACTGAAAAGTGTTTATGGTTGTATGGAGAAATTCAGCTGCATTTTTAGTTTCCAGTGGCTTGACACCTTACACTTTTTGAGGATACACTGAAAATATGCAATGCATGAATGAGACAAACTCATGTATCACATATGTACATGATATTTGTTATCAGCTGCACTCCCTATTGATTTTGCATTCAATTTGGGTTTGCTGATGTTTAATGAGTGAAATTGGTCATCCCTGTACAACATCCATATTTGTGGCCTCTCTGAAGACTGCTGCATCTAGACAAAAGTAAGCCTGAATTTCTATTGGATGTATGCTTGTTCAGAGAGCTATGTCCAGTTCTAGCTCTTTGGTAATGTGCAACTAATGGCTTGGAGCAGCCCCCACAACCTTCTGAAATGGTTCCATGGAGAGTCAGGGGAACCTTTTGAATGGAATGAGCTGCAGTACAGGAAAGTGGCAAGCAGGGAGAGACGCCTCTGAGTAGAACCTTGCTGTCAGCAGAAGGCAAATCCCAGATCCAACCTATCATGTTTTCAAACATAATTTGCCACAACAAATTCCAGAGGGATAGCTGTTTTAGTTAGTTGCAGAAAAAGCAGCCAAGACGCTTAGGGCTTGCTACATGAGGCTTCACTAAGGCTTCTCTTTCTGAATACTTTGAAGGATTCTGATCTGTCTTTCTGTATGTTCCATTACACAAGCTCTAGGTGATGCTGTGACAAAGCAGAATTGGGCAAATACATGAAGCATTTCATGCTGCCATTTCCAAATAATACTGGACTTTCCTCAATGGGGAAAAAAAAGCAA